ATCCACGACAGCGGTAGAGAATGAATTAAATTCATCAAGTGAATCCTTACCATCCGCCAAGATTCATCGACAAAAATATGAAATAAAAGCCTTCATCGTCAAATATTGCAATTGTTCTTAAAAAAGAACTCTCTTCATGAACCTGGAACTCAAAGATGACATCGAAGCAGAAATTCTTAAAAACCGCCTTTCTAAATGTCTGAAGAAGACGTTTTAAGCACCCACCTTACGCACCACCTTCTCCAGCAGACAGTTAATCTAGTCACGCTTTAAGGACAAGATACCGTTTTCGGCCACCTAAATGTTTATTCTATCGATTTACTTGTTCGTGTGGAGGAAAGTATATCGGCCGTACGCAACGTCAGGTTCGAAAATGTATTCTGTAACACTGTCCAGTCTGGCTAGGCAGAGGAGAAAAGAGGATACCAGTAGCTCTGTCCTCGAACACCCTCGCATGAATGCTTCATATTGCTACACAGAGTTCTTCAATACCATATGAAAGGACTTCGAATACTCCATCCGTACGCATATGAATCATTGGCTATTCCGAGCCTGAAACAGGACCTCTGCATTCAAAATCACATATATGCATTCGTTGATTACGTCTTTTTCCTATGACTCAATATGGGAATATTTCATTTATAAAATTACAGTCAAGAGATTTAATAATTATGCCTTCATAATGGTGTTTGCAACAACTAAAAACAGCAATTCAACTAGTGAAATGTAAAAATCTGAGACAGGAAACACTAAAGTTACCAGAGAATCCCTAAAAGCCGAAATATTAAAAAAGATCGAATTTAACAATAAATAAACGTCAGGAAGATGATCACTACTCATACAAAGGAACAAGTTTATAAGGAAATTTCGCAGAGGTAACAAATCATGTAGAATTCCATCGGAGTAGACTATTAATTCGTTCATTGAGGATTCCATAAGATCACTTCATCTTAGAGATGGCGCTTAGAAAGACAACAAAAGCTTCAGACTGAAGCCACCGACCTCAAGGAACTAAACAGTACCGATATAACCTGCCTGAGTTACAGAACGGTAGCTAAAACAGAAATAGCAAGGAATTTCCCTAAATCATAGTGTATATGATATAAAGAAATGATGTGATAGTATTCAATTCAGATCTGACTAATAGACTTCTAGTTATAGAAGTTTCACTTTCTCAATTCCTAGGTAACTTAATTGTTCTAGAATGCCCACAATGCTGATCATTTCGGCTAAAAACTTTCGATCTTCATTATTTTTAGCTTGCTGAAATTTATGCTAAGACTTCTGGAACTTATGGAGGTAATCTTCGGATTTTCAAAAGTTTTCAAATTTGCGCTAGAGGACTCAAGTAACTAATGAAACTGACAACTTTTTACGACACTTTCTGATAAACTCAGGCCTCTAACTTATTGGCACTTTGCAGTTATTTTCAAAAATCAATAAAATAACAGTGACAACCTCTGGAAGATATAAACTTCACGGATCATTTATATCAAATAACACACAGACTTGAAGATAAAAACGTGAAAACTAACAGAATTTGAAGAATGTCACTTCTTTCAATTCTGCAGTCAGGACTGAAAAAATAAAACAGACTTTTACTAATCTGAAATCAATATGGTATTTTATTGCACTCAGCATAAGGAAGAAGATTTGATTTTTCACCTCTAATGTCCAGTCAGTTCTATATAGTTCAGAGACTTCGCTCACTACGAAAGCATTTCTAATGAGCTGCAGACTGTCATCAACAACTGTCCTGTCTCCATAATGAAGATCAGATGGTCACAAGGGATTAGCAACACAGAACTCAGGTGACAAACCAGCCAGAAACCTATTTTTCCACAAATATATGGAGGAATATGGAGACGGACTTGAAATATGTATGCTGAAATCACGCTTCAGCCACGCCCATGAGATGAGCTTAATTAGGAAATGGCGACTGGTTTCATGTCCTAACGTAACGGGGAGGAGGTAGCATAAGGGGGAAATGAAAGCTTATAGGCAGTAGTGAAGTCAGCTGAAAATGACTCCAGAGGACAGAGTGAATTGGAGATTCGTTGTTGAAGTCCTGTGTTCCACTCGGAGCTCAAGGGATTACATATATGCACATATATCATTCCTACACATGGTACAGAAGACTTCAGGTTTGAGCTTTGTGTTTTTTTATAGGGTGTAGCTGCCAATCTCAAGCTTAGTCTTCTCTTTTTTACCTTCTTCACTACTGGCTAAAAGGGGTTTAGGAGTGCAACGGCCTGGAGTTGAATACAAACCACATGTTTGACTAGCGAGCCTTCTAGTAGTGAATCACCGATGCACAGGAAACAACATCTGATAAAAGTTTGACTTCTGCTTCAATGACTGTTTGTCAACAGATAATAATAATAATTTGCTTTATTCCAAAACAGTACTTGTGATACAGAATGGAATTCTCAGCATTTTTACTACTGTATTGCATCCAGTTAGTACATTATCAATAAATAAAATTCTACATAGATTAAGGAAATCTCAGTTCATTATGACAACAACATATTGGGATGTCGGTAGCAAAGCCAACGCTGAACAGTGTTTGAAGGGGTTAGAAAAGTAGGTGCTGTCATATTTACTGGCGTAAGCGGAAGAAAGAAACAAAGCAGAACATAACGGAAAAAAGAGAGAGAAAAGGAAAAGAAAGAAAGAAAATGTTGTACCTGTAATTGATATGAGTTGGAAAGACGAGGTCCAGTTGTTCTACTGACTATTTAATGAGTTATAGGTGTCACGCCTAATGCTTTCTTTATCGCACAGAACATGAGCTAAGTAGGGTATGGTTGAGTTTTTGTACTTGCTGGTGCGAGCATATAGTTTTCTATATAGGCTTCTGGTTTTGCCTGATGAGATGCAAGGGGAGAGTTGTGAGTGGAGAGGGTGGTGTGAGTTAGATAAAATAGATTTGGCCCAGTTTTCACATGAGTCCATGTGCCTGTCAACCAGAATATTAACAAGCTGGTTAAGTGGCACGTTGATTACCCTGCTGAAAACCTTTAACATCCTGTGTAATATGTTATAGTCTTTCTTCAGTAGCCCTGGAAAAACTAAGGGGGAACAATAGAGATTAATAGGCAGAATGCGAGAATTAACGAATTGTAGGAATGTTTTAATTTCTTGATGTAGAAGGTAAGACGGAATCTTTTCTTAGAAATCGTCAAGATATGAGACGACCAGGAAAGATCAGCAGATAGAATGACGCCTAGGTATTTAATTTCCGATTCAGTTTCTATTTCAGTGCCGTCTATGTTGCATACCTCGTGAGAGTTAACCAGTTTGTTTAGGTCGGATTTATGCCTGAAGGTGAAATTGACTGTTTGGCATTTGGAGGGGTTTAAGGTAAGACCGTTTTCCTTGGACCACTGGCTAATTTCTGACAGAAAGCCATTAAGTTTGGAGTAGTCACTTTGACATTTGACAGGCAAAGATACTGTCAGGTAGTCAACATATTTGACAAAATTAATGTCATTTGAAGATGGTAAGTCATGTAGAAAGAAAGAAAAGAGAAGTGAGAAGAGTACAGCACCTTGGGGGACACCAGCTTCAGTGAGCACAGCAGAGGAGGATTTACCCTTGTATACGGTGTACTGTTTTCTGTTAGAGAAGTAGGAATGCAGCCAGTTAGTGACCGAGGACTCAGTTTTTGTCCTAGAGAGCTTATTTAGCAAGAGACATCTAGGTACAGAGTCGAAAGCAGAAGTGAAGTCGAGAAACGTGCAGCAGACGTATTTGACTCCTTTATCTGATGATGAGACGATGTTGTTGTGTAAGACGGCTCCAGCGTCTAATGTGCTCCTACCCTGTCTATAGGCAAATTGTTTGGGGTCTTCAAAGCTTTTAAGGGAGGGTTCAAGTTTAAGAAGTACTAGTTTTTCCATGAGCTATAGAAACGGGGAAGTGATGGCAATGGGTCTGAACTTTACGTTCTTGCTGTTTCCAGGTTTAGAGACAGGGACTATTTTAATGTCTTTCCATGCATCAGGTACGACATTTTTGGAGAAAGACGCATTTAGGATGTTATTTTTAGAACAATGTGCAGATGCAGGTGAAAAGGATCAAAAAGTAAAGAGGTCATTCAAAAGAATAGATGCATTAATTTTCTCAAATATAAAACATCACATTATCATTTCTGTGTAAATGAACAGGGAATTATATTGAAACGATTCATTTATTTCCGTCCTTTGTACTTCATATTTCCAAGAAATACAGTTTCACAGATCCTTTATAAACTCAGCAGCGAAATCATTATGCTGTCACGTACTCTGCTCGAGTTGTCGTACAGAAACTCATTCACTGACCCGGAGAAACACTGCACCTTCTGTCGTTCACTCTCCAGCTCAACTGCTAACTCCCGGAATTACGTATTTTTTCAAACTATTGTTGGGGGTTGAACCCTGGGCATATCACGCTCCCCTGTATGTGCTGTCGAAAGAAAATTAAGAGCTTTTCCCCTTAATATTCTGTCTTAATCAATCTCTCTCTATATATGGAGACAAAACATATGTTTAATAAAACTTGAATAAGTTATTAGTGTGACAAATTTTAAATGTCATAAACTTTTTATTACAGAAATATTAATAAGACAAAATTTCTCTATCAACTGTATTCGGATTGTGATTGGATGTCGAGTTTATTGCCCACTCATTATCCTAATCACTCTCTATTTCTCTCTAACCATTAAAAACGTCATACTTCCCATTTAAGAAGTAACATTTTTAGAACATATAAAGTTATCAAAAGATAACCAATAAGTGAGTCTTTTAACATAAGCAAATAATTCAGCCAATTTAAGTAAATATTATTACTTCCCTTAAAACAGGCGATTGGTTATAATTCTGCTTTACCTAGAATCAAGACAGAACAATACTAGACAGACATTAGCATTTGTTAACCTTGAGATCTCATATATAGAAATCAATAATCAAGGTTTTTAATCGCATCATATTATTCATTGAACATTGAATTATCATTATTATTGATAGATGAATGACATTTGTCCTGTGTTACTTCTGTATACAGTGATGTAAAATCAATTTGAAGTAAGTGTTGGCTAAGAGTTTTATTATCTAAAGTTAATATATTGCAATAAATCACTTTATGTATTCGAGAAATAACTGTATAAGAAATGATCCTACATTTTGTAAACGAAATAATCAGTGTGTTTCCGATAGATGAAGTTGTTGCTTATTGGCCAAGGTAGTCAACTTTCAAACACTGGGTCATGGGTTCGAATCTCTCTACTCTTGTGGAGGTTTGAGCAACCCTCGCACAATTGGCGTGACTTATGGCCAACAGCATAAATATTCTGGGAAACAATTCATTAATTTCTTTACTTTCTCTCCTGATACCTTCAGGATTTAGTCGTATAAACTTTTGGTTGTATAATGAACATATGATTGTTAAATCGCCTTGTAAGCGTCTAACATTGATTTGTCAGTCAGACAGGACTATTGTATACGATTATATATTCCCATTGTCAAACCTGTTGACGTCGAAATATTACTGTGACACACAGTGAAATCCAGCTATTAGTATTATTCCCTTGGGTTCCAAGGGGAATATAGGGCTTTAGTGCTGTCCTGTTCAGCTGGGTCCACAACTGCCATAATCTCTTCGCCTCCTCCTCTCCACACGACCTCCTCCATGTCACCCCCACAATGACGACCCACTCGTTGCTTCCCACGGGAATTCCACTCTAGCCATGGCCTTCATTGAGCACGAAGTCATTCCACGGCCTCCTCAGCCAGAGTATGCCCGATCTATCTTCACTTTCTCTTACGTATTTGTTGAACAATTGGTTCTTGGTTGGTTTATTGCCATAGTTTCTTGTTGCTAGTTCTTTCTGGTTGGCTGGCTGGCCGGCCGGCCAGCCAGCCGGTTATTTGATCTTCAGTCTGGAGCCAGTCAGCGAAGTTGACAGTTGTTGACACAAGTTTGTGACTTGTTGGAGTTACTTTTCGTGACACGAAGAACTGGCTGACTTCACATTTCTGTTAAAAATCCGTATATTGTTATGTGACGTTTAAAGGTTAGTTAGTTTTGTAAATACTTTCAAAGTGAAATGAAATAAAGTAGAAGAAGGGATAAAGAATAAACGGTATCAAGTTCATACCACTTTTCACTAAATTCTCTTTTACACCGAGTACTCCTTTTGTGCTGTTGTGTTCATTTCGGTGTATAATATAATTACGAAACTTTTATTATCCTTCTAGTCAACATCTTTTGGAGTAACTTTATTTTAAAATTACAGTACACAGCTAATTTAAAACCATCCACATAAGCTACAAATCTTCTCTATCATTAGTTACCCTTTATTCCAAAATGCTAAACTTCCTTCAAATATACTTATTATTATTATTATGTTTCGTTTAGTGGGTTCCAAATGGAACATTAAACCCCAGCAGCACATCTTCATTTCATGCTTCTATCTGGTGTCTATTTTAGTTTGCTTGACGACTGTCCATAAGCTTTCCTTTCCTTTTCACATGATCTCCTACTTGTCGAGCTGAGACGCTAAACTCATTGCTTCACATTCCGGTTTCACTCAGTAACCTGATGTGTGGGTGTGTTTGGTACAACTTGATCCCCTGAGCGAATGTCTAATCTTTTTCCACTGCCTTCTGTATATTTTTAGGGTGATGAGTTGTCGACTACCACAGTTTCTTATCGCTTATACCTAGTTAACTAGTTAACTAACCACTTCTAAGTCCGGAAACGGTGCGAAGATTGTGCGTGGGGTTCAGCTATACCAATCCCCTAAAAATACAGCCTAATCTCTGCTGAAACTCAGACAAAATATGAATATGGTTTATCTACATAAAGCTTTGTAGAAGAAATACATTTTCACAAACAATTATGATTATTAGAGCATTTCATTTAAGCAATAAGGTATTCGATTGCAAACACTTGTATGTGCTTCAACTTTTTCTACATTAGTACCTTAGAAATAGCAATAGTCAGTTAGCGGTTCAATAAACAAAATGCTCACCACTATGGGCAAAATTTATTTTGATAAAGTCTCACAGTGTTATACGGTAATATTTACTGATGATCACGTTTCGAGCACAATTTATTACCACTCATTATCATATCAGGGCACTACTCACACAACTTTCTAACTTCGTTTATATAATTCCATCATTATTTTTCATTGCTTCACTTGATTGGTAGTAGTATTTTCTATATTTTTGGTATGAGTGATGAGTCATTCCTATTGTACGTGTTGGGTGTAGACTCGATGAACCAGGATTCAGTAATCAATCTCTCGCGCTCTCCGCTTACCTATTTTACTCCTTAGAATTTTAACACTCAACCTATTGTGTGGTTGTGTGTTAATGTGTGCAGTGCGATTGCTGAGTTTTTTTCTAAATTACTTATCTTCTTGGGGTAAACCTCTCTTAACTTAGCTGAATTCTTATATTCTGATAATCTCACTACTCCTGATCTATTAGTATGACCTATGTAGTTGACCTAATCACATTTATTGCAAAGTATTTTGTAAATTATATTGTTTTATCCAATTGGGTCAACCGACAGGGTCCTTTAACCTACATAGCTTATCCCTGAGTGAGTTTGTAGGTTTAAATGCCACACTAATTCCTGCTTTATTCAGAATCCTACTTAGGGTCTCAGATGTCCCTCCTTATATGGTATAACAGTAGGTGCCTTAAATTCTCTCTTATTTATGTTATCATTATTAGCTTCACCACTATTTTTATTTTGCTTTTGGCCTTTTCTGATCTTTCTAATGAATTTTACAGGATAGTTATTTGATATCAAAGCTTATTATATTACGAAAAATACTACTACCAATCAAGTCAAGCGATGGAAAATAATGATGGAATTATATGAACGAAGTTAGAAAGTTGTGTGAGTAGTGCCTTGATATGATTATGAGTGGCAATAAATTGTGCTCGAAACGTGATCATCAGTAAATATTACCGTATAACACCCACAATGGAATTACACTCTGTCACAGTGCACAAGTTCTATTCTTATATCAAGGAATGCTCATAAAACACTTATGTGCCCCAATGTCGATTTCCACCTGATGAACTCTTAAACCGCGCTTAGCTGGTAGTAAGCATGGTAAAAAGGGAAGGTTGGATGTGACACTAACAACCTCATCCAGTTAAGAAAAGCAGCACGACTGTTACTGGAACTCCACATCTCAAATTTGAAGCCCTGGATGTTCCTCTCGAACGCAACGGAATAAAAGCATGTTTTTTTGGATGTTTCAAATTTGAAACAGACCAGAAATGTGGAAAAAGTGGTATTTAATGAATTTCTGCAGGATATGTCACCTGAATACTCTAAAAACATGACTATTTATTGTAATTCATATGCTGTTTGAATTAATGAGTTGGTACTGTTTGCGGAGTAGTTACCTGATCAATCCTATCCAATTTTATGAATCTATTGAACACTATTTTACCTCACATTTGTTAATCGTTTTAAATGTTTGGGTTTTCATGTTGAGTTTCTAGGAATCTCGAGTAATTTCAGGAAAGATTTCATCACAGAGTGAAATCAGTCGGAGAATCATTATGCACTATGGATGAATGGAAAGTTGTTTCATTAGATGTTTGGATTATTCAACAGTGCACACCAACTACCCTGCCAGGCCAGTGGTCCATCATATCCAGTGTGATATTCAAGTGTTGGTTCGCAGGGATTTGATTGGTTTCAGGATTTCACCATGAACTGACATAGGTTAGAGGAACATTGGAAAACCTGGGAGTGCTAGACAGCTGTTTCGTCCTAGTCTTGGGACTCTTCAGCTAGTGATCACGTCATATCATGAATTGACAGAAGTTAGAATTCACGGATTGGCTATTGGATTGGGTTCCAGTGGCTTAATGGTCTACGAGCTCGTCTTGTAACCAAAAGGCCTTGGGTTTGGACCCTGGCAATGGATGCGTACTGCTGAAGAGTCACAAACTAGGGTGGCGAAACGGCTGTCCAGTACTCCCTGTTTGCTTTCCAATGGTTCTCTAACTGATGTCTGTTCATGATGATATCCTGATATCCAATGCGAATTGGTTACTCATTATTGTTATCGGTTTTCCAGCAGCACCTTAAAGCTAGTTGGAAGAGCTAAGGATTCATGGGTCTTTGAATTCCACTCCCATGGCTTAGTGATAAGTGGGTTCTCATGGTGACCTATAAGCTCTAACTTTGATCTCTTATTGGGTCATTCATATTCAGTGCTGAGGATCCCCACAGTGGGACGAAGCATCTGTTCAGTGATCCAGAGTTTTGAATGATTCTATAACTGATTTCGATTCAAGACGAAATTTACACAGTTTTAAATACATTAAAACTGCATCAATAATTTACTCATATCCATATTAAAGTGAAATAATGGCCAGTCATTATGAATGAATACTGGCGAGAGTTTAGTCTGAGATTACTTATGCATACCTATGTGTCATAGATAACGTTGTTAACCTTTGGTGTGTCTTTTCTATTCATCCAAATTTCTGTTTGGTAACTCTGTATGCTTTTGCAGTACCAGTCCGATATCACTATGGAGAGAGTTATCAAATAGGACTATTTACTCTTATTCGCTGCCTATAATCTTTTATCAATTTCTCTATATGAGACACTGTGCGTATTAATTGGAAACCGTCTTTTTATGACTGGGACGGGATTAATAGTCTGCTTCTAATGTACACGTATAGCGACTTGGTTTGAAAAGCTTACTTGAATAACTGAAATTAACATCCGGTTAAACCAAGATTCTCGTGATCGTCAATAGAGCAGATGAATCTTAATTCAACTATCATACCAATACACAATTTATGAAGCGAGCATCAATCACTTCTAGCGACTTTCATTATTACTATTATTCCTTAGGGTTCCGAGTGAAACACATGGCATCAACAGCATGTTTCCACTTTGTACTATTCTCTGAGTTCCTTTTTATCTGCCCCTACGACTGCTCATAATGTCTCCTCTCCTCAACACACGATCTCCACTATGTCACACTCGGACACACGCTCAACTCATTGTTTTCTATTTGGGTTTCACTTGAGGG